CTCCTTTTTTAAACCTAGATCATAGATACCACTAAATGATTTTTACCGTACACTAAGAGATTGACGAAGTATCAAAGGTCGGTCGATTGCTGTGGAATAATTGATATCCCGACCTCCGGGATACGTATTTACTTCACGGTAGAAACAGACAGAATGGTTGAAGCAACCCTTTTAAGCAGAATAATATATATCTTTGGTCAGGGTAGGAAATCGGAGGCAGAAATAGAAGACAGCTAGATCATAGAAGATAGATAAAAAAGACGTGTATGTTGCGGTAACTATTCAAAGATTGGAATAAATCCGGCAAAACCGAGTCTACCTATTAATAACGCTGATTCATTGAAGGTGTTAAAGAAAATAGGATTGCAGCGATCGCCTTGTACAAAGTGGGCATGAAGCCGTCGGTTATATTCCAGACACTTCAAAAGCCGTATCAGTCGTAAGTTTGTATATCGATCAACAGATACAACAACACTTCGTTTGTCTACGACCAGAAAAGATGGGGCCAGCCGCGTGCTGCTAAAATTACAAAGGCTGTTAATGCTGTTAAAGCCAGCTGTTCCTCGAAACCCCATCAGGAAGCAAAATATCTTATCACGAGAAATGAAGATTCCCGCTAGGACTTTGTCGAGTATTATAAAACAAGACCTGAAGCTCGGTGATTATCGTCGATATACAGGACATGCCCTAAAACAAGCTTTACAATTAAAGTGAGTGGATCGATCAAAACGCCTTCTGTCGCGATACGCAAGTGAACGGCACAGAAATTTCCTCTTTACCGATGAAAATTTTTTCACAATTGAAGAACACTATACACAATAGGCAAAATGATAAAGTGTACGCTCACAGTTCTAAAGAAGTTGCTCAAGTGGCCGGATAGGTACAACGTGGTCATCATCATTAAGGAGTCACAAAACTACATTTTTGTGAAAAAGGAGTGAGAACTTCAGCCAAAGTGTATTAAGTAAGATACAGTCTTGGAGCATATTGTGAAACCTCTCAACAATAATTTTTAAAGAATATACCGTGGACTTTCCAGCAGGACTCTGCGCCTGGTCACAAGGCACGAACTACCCAAGCCTGGCTTGAAAATAACGTTCCGGACTTTATAAGAGCTGAAGTCTGGCCCTCATCTAGCCCAGACGTCAACCCTTTAGACTTAAAATTATGGTCAGTTTTAGAGGACATGGCCTGCTCTAAAGGACACGGTGACATTGAGTCTCTTACAAATCTTTGGAGCAAGCAGTGACGAAATTTCCTTTGGAAACAGTACGTAAATCCATAGATTCGTGACCAAACAGATTAAAGGCCTGTATAAAAGAACAAGGTGACCATTTCGAATAGTTTTTTTTTTTTGCTGTGACTTTAATAAATATGTAGGTATAAATATTAATAAGATTACATTACTTCATTTAAAAAAAAGCATTTTCATTTGTAACAGAACTTATGGCTGGACTAGGCATATGTAGTAAAACGGTAGAAAAACTTTTGGAACCGAAACGCATTACTTCTTCGCGGCTGAACAAAAAGTGGTGGTGATACCTACTCATAAGGACTCACCAGTCTTCAGTACAAACTACCAAACTTATCACCAAAGTACCCGAGTCACACCAATGTGTGTACCAATAAATCGGCTGAACGTATCTATCAGACCTTGCATATCCACTTCGGCGATTGCTTTGTACCACAGGAAATTAGTTTTCAACTTCCCTAGTTTCTCTATACCTGAAACCGTGTGAGTTTAGGTATAACACAAGTTGATCTACCGAGCTTCTACGTAGATGGAGCGCATGCATTATTGAATCGGAAATTTTCACTGAAGAGCGCTACATTGAACTAACTAATCTGTGTCAACCATGTCAAACCAGAAAATTGCAAAAATTGTAAGAGGAGAAATATGCTTCTTGTATTTACGTAAGTATAAGTAAGTTTTAGAACATTTAAATAAATACGAGGAAGTATTATTTATTAACTCTGTATAAAATAACCGTAGTGTTGCTATAACAGCCACAGACTAAAAAACACTATATGTAAACACAATGCAATTGGTAATACTATATATTTCAAGATTGCATTAGGTTACCTACCTATAAGTCTTTATTTGTGACTGCTGCATAATAATGTATGATCTGTGACAGTATAAAAATTACCGTCAAAATATTAACGCTAAATGAAAAAAAATTAACCACGTAAACCGCTGCAAAAATAAGAATAATTAATACGCAAATAATTAGACTTGCATGTTTGAAAGCGAGTTACACTAGTTAAATAATCACCAATCGGTTTGTGTTGCGCGATCATCCCCGTCTCCGAGAATTTTCTAATGGTGCAGATGGGTGGAGGCCCACAGGAATTGATGTCCACGAAGAAAAAGAGCTGGACAAATTGCACGGCCTCTTTTTATCCATCACCTCACAATTTTTAAAATTTAATAATTACCACATATAATTATACCACATATAATAATTACCCTTAAAACCGAACTAGGGAATCGTGTATTCGCGCAGCGCAATATTATGTTAGTGTAAAATTGAAAAAAACCTTGACACTTCGTCGCGGCAGTGCTTGCCTATAATCTACGGTGTTTTATAGCCAATGACATGCTCTAGACATGTTCGTGTGATGCACAGCAGTTTACCACAGATTTGCACCAGCCGGAGCCTTGTACTGCACTGACATACTTTTTATCTATGTACTTTAACCGACATTTTACCTATCCATATTACAATAGTTTTTTTCCGGTAATATATTTTTTCAATGAAAACCAAAATAGTTTTAAAAACTGTAATTAAAGTTCATTAAATTTTACTCTTATATATTAAAAAACGTGCTATGTAATCTTTACTAGAGTATAACAAAATGTAACATTTCTTATTAATATTATTAGAAATATACAGTCTAAAGCAAAAAACAGCTAATTAAACCAGGAGTAGAGATATATCTAGTTAAGTTAAATACCCATTCTCATTATTTAGCTTCTTAACTAATTGTCGAATTTCGTGTCTTTTGATACTAAACGTGTGCCGATTTATTTGAAACTAACAAAATTGCCCAAGAAAACGACTGTTTCGTCTGGTAAGAAAACAAATTATTTAAGCGATGTGTTTTTCAATTCATTTAACAACTTTTCAAACATCGACACTGAAAATGATAATTATTTCTTACTGGTCGTAGGGCTTATTGTAGGTCCGCATAGATAGGTACCACTAGCCTGCCGATTTCTGTTGCAAAGCAGTCATGTATGCCGGATTTTAAAGTGCCATTGCCGTTTTACAATACAAATAGAATGGATCTAATGTCTCCAGATTGATGACGGCGTTCACGCTGTGATATCTTCGGGCTCTGGTAATGACTTCAAACCGGGAGGGTCGTGATTTCCTTCACCTTTCGATGCATTAAATAAAAACAGCTAAATAGGACGCTCGTCAGGTCAAACGAATGTACAGCTCATTAGGAGTATATAATTCTAAAAACATGTACGCTGGATTTTGTGAAGTATTCTTCAAACTTTTAGGTCTAATTTAAGTTTGGAGAAGGACATGTGATGAGAACTCCGTGAAGAGTAAAAGATAAGATACAAGAAACATCTAATTGAATGCCAGCTACAGTAATTCAAAGATGTAGGTTTTTACTTCATAACTAGCGACCCGCCCTCGCTTCTCTTCGGAAACAATAAATTTTATTATTGATAGCACAGTCCCGCGATGTTACACGCGGTTATTGTGAAGCTAGTCTAAAAAAGTAGCCTAAGTTACTCCTTCTATCATCAGCTACCTATTGGTGAAAGTCTCGGCAAAATCGGTCCAGCCGTTCCAGAGATTAGCCGGAACAAAGAGACAGACAGACAAAAATTGTGAAAAATGTTAATTTGGTGTATATACCGTATATATATTCATATGCATGTAGTAAAAAACGGTTATTTCTATATTACAAACAGACCCTCCAATTTTATTTATATGTATAGATACGGCCGGCACGGACTTAAAAGACTATGTAACTATACATAGTTTAGTAGGATTCAAAAAAATAATAATTATGCAGTCTGTAGAAAGAGCTCACCCAACTGCTGTTAAGTAGCTACCGGAGTCCACAGACACCAACAACGCAAATGCCCCAGTCTACATTGAGCATGAGTTTTAAGTCTCAGTTTGACAATAAAACGGCTATCTGACCCTTCAAACTGGAACGAATTACCGGGTTGCGGCAGAAATAGGCAGTGCAGTGGGACCTACTCATGCGGGCTCACTAGACGCCATACCACCAGTAAAATATAATGCAAAACAATATTTTGTATAATGCCGCTAATCTCATACAACTAGAAATGTAAAATTACTAGGTACCTTACTAGGCATACATAAGTTTTAGAGATTAAACAATAATTCTACTTGTGATAAACTGCGATGGTAAGGTGTGGCCACGCACTTGTAGTTAACATCATCTAGCCTATTTCTGCCGCGATAAAATCATGCATTCCCATTTGGATAGGATAAGACACTCGTTAGTATCCTATTATCAGTCCTGGCAGTCTTGATGTCTAGGGATGGTGAAGACTTACTATGAGGTAGACAGTATCAATTACCTTCCGGAGCATACGACTGAGACTCCAATCTCATGTGGCCGACAGGTATATGCAAGATATGTGTAAAGTTGCGTCTAAAGGCTGTGGTCATTTTACAGCAACTACCTAAAAATGTCAAAAAAATTTACACGTGTTTTCGTAGATTTTTATATTAAACACGTGGGCTATTTACAATTATCTTTACGTACTAAAAAAAGTTTAAATCATCAGCGAAACTAATTGTTCACTCCTATATTGAATTAATAATGAAAACTTCATAGCTATATAACAGAAATTTGGAAAGCCGAAACATTCAACACATTTTGTTAACCTCCAATAATGCCTCTACGTTCTACGTAAGCTTCATGAATTAAAATAACATTCGTACGCGCCGACTAAACTAGCATATCATTAACAAAAGCGCTATAAACACTTAGCTTACTTAGGTGGCATGCCGGGTACGCGCTACAGCAATTTTCCTGTAATAAAAGAAAATTCTATTACAAAAACTCTAGCTAATACCCTTTAATGGGATTTCGATTCAATTTGACATCAGCTATTACTTTTATAGGCCTTCCGGTAATCAGTAATCATTCTATCTTTTTTTTGGTGTTTGAACAATTATGTGGCGGGGTATATATGAATAGTCAGATAATTGACAAAAAAAAAAAACTTGAGTGACTTATTTTGTAATATAAATTTTTAATGTTACATTAACTAATAGAGTTTTATTTGTATTAACAATATGATTTTCATGTATAAATTTAATATCTATATCCATTCGGACAAAATCGAAAACCCTAACACGTCTTCAAAAGTACGTGCCTTTGTTTAAGGAAAATGAATGCTCCAAAAAAGCAAAACTCCGAAAATTCCCAAGAAGTTAATTAGGACAGATCGTGACACCTTGTTATCTAAGATAATAAATCTTCGAATAACCGTAGCCTTTAATCTTCATTCACGATATAGTCAAGTGCGTTAAGATATGATTCAGTAAGTAATATATAGATTTTCCACGATAGCGAAACTTTACTTCTTTACTGTCTTATGATGTTAAAAAACGTTTGTTTAATGAAAAATCATTACGAGTGTTGAAAATTATTGGCAACTTCCTTAGTTGGTTATCTTAGATTTTATTTGATTTATAAAAATCTTAGATTCGAGATGTTATTTCTGGTTCTTTTTGATAATTCTAGTTCAAGTGGTAAACGGTAATAATAACAGTTTCACAATACTTCGGTTTTAGTGCCAATAAAACTCGATGACAATGCCTACTGGATGACATTGTCACCTCGAATGCTTGGTCGCCCTACCAAATTGCTTTAAACAACACTTCGCAGAGAACATCTGCTTTATGAAGTACCTTAAAGACGTAGGATCCTTAATTCAAACTTGGTATCTTCTTTCCAAGTACGTAACCTCATGTGACGTCATAGCGGGTATCGGAAAACACTTAAAATAAACGTTACATAAGTTTTGAAATGAGAGCGTTCGAACGTCCACATACGAATAATGACATCACTAGTGTTTCTTTAACGCACATTCGGTGAACTTATATAACATGCAATGCAATATTAATACAAAAATATCAGACCGCATAAAAGGCTGATTTGCATAGACGGGTAAATCAAATGCGAGCGACGACATTATCAAACTCGATTATATTGTCACGCAAGAACACTCGTAGAGTTCATAATAATATGACACGATCACTATCATGTAACTATACTGAGACCTTAGAACTTAAATCTCAAGGTGGGTGGCGCATTTACGTTGTAGATGTCTATGGGCTCCAGTTACCACTTAACACCAGGTGGGCTGTGAGCTCGTCCACCTATCTAAGCAATAAAAAAATAAAAAAAACATTCAACAAAACTGCTCACACAATCTTGAAGACTCATTTCATTCGGTTTATAATAAAGGAGACAACATTCACGTGCAGTTATTGTCAAACTGTGCAAGATTTTACTTTAGAGACTTTCTCAGCTGATCGTATTCAAGAAATTCTCTTAGTGAAGTTAGTATCTGGTTACCGTCAGTTTGTAAAAAATCCCTCATTGACATCGCCAATACTAGAACTACGATAAAAAAATCACCTTTATAACAAATATCATGAAACACACTGCATTTATGTCGGATGATCCATTTGCATGATTAGATACGACATTTTTGTACAGAGATACATAAATCCTATTATAACGATAAAAAATCAGTACATTAAATATATTCATTTTAACCTATACCACATATACTTCAACTTATAAGGTAAGGTATTGCAATAATAGCTAAACGACCTTCTATATCAAGCCTGTCAGGAACACACATCGGCCAACCAGTCGATACCACAAATAAACGTTTGATTTCTCCTTAATATATTATGTACAAATAGGCCAGCGCTTGCTACATATTTACGGTAAAAAGGTTTTTTGTTGTTTTATTTGTTGATTGGTTCCAATCTTTTTCCAAGGTAACATTAAAAAACAACGTGTACGAATATTTCAATTACTGACTGACTGAGTGACTGATTTTAATAACTACTACTCTTGTTTCAATGATTTTTGTACAGATGTGTGAACACACAAAAAAAAATTAATTATAATATTATTTTTTCCCATTAATAAACGTTCTACCGTGGTACGTCATTCAGTGAATTTGGGAAGAATCACTAGCTTAATTGCAACTTTGACACCGTTTTAAACACCATTCAAATTGAGTTAACGCGTTCGCCACTCGACTATTAATTGCATAGAGTCGGGGCTCATTGTTTTAGACTGGCGACATAGAGGAGTAATGAACAGCGAACTGAATAATTGTTTGCTATTCAGACAGTATCCAAGCCTGAACGAATGCAGAAAAACACCAGGATAATAATGTCATCCCGAATTATCCTACTAGCATTCATAGAAATCAGGATGACTGAAGAGCGTTAAAAAGGAAAATAATGGAAGGGTGCTACGTAATGTAGTAAATGCAAATTTACACATTATTATTTGACAGCAAGCTCACAGCCCCTCCTCAATTAAACAGCTTACGGAGACCATAGACATCACATATGCCGCCACTCACATTCATATAGGTAATGCGAATTAAATGAAATTTCACTCAATTACGTTCTATAACGCGTATCCCACCCTTCAAACAGGAACATGAATGCTTCTCACGGACTAATGGGGGGAAGGCATTAATGCCATCGTCGCATAACCGTATCTACTGTTTAATCTCTCAAGAGACTGTTATTATGTAAGATAGTACCATGTGTTTAATGTAATTGATAACTCGTATCTATACTTAATATTATAAAAAGGAAATAAGTATTTCTTTGTTTGTTTGTACTGAATAGGCTCCGAAACTACTGAACCGATTTGAAAAATTCTTTCACAGTTTGGAAGTTACACTATTCCCGAGTGACATAGGCTATATATAATCTTTTTTGAAAAAAATTAGGGATCCTTACTAAAACTCCAATAATATAACCCAATGTGTAAAAAATTTCCTAAAATATTCTTTACATGGCGTGCCCTGCGAAAACTATTGATGATAGAATAAAATAATGTACTACGACTTTGTAGAACACATTATTATTTACAAAAAGTGTCGCAACAGCATATGTCTAACTATTATAGTTATTGTGGATAAGTGTAATTTTATTGAAAAAAATAAAACAACATCAAATATCGTTGAAATTTTTGTAAAAGACTCCGAGCGGAGCCGGAGCGGGCCGCTAGTAACATAATAAAAAAATTAAGAATACTTCTACATTTGTAGCACAATTTATTTTTATTTTAATTAATTTTAAACGATCTTCAACAAAATGATATAGCCTATAGTCAACTGGACGTATTGTTGAAACCTAAACGTAACCTATTAAAGTATAGCCATTATTCATTATATCGTCCATCACCTATAGATCGCCTATATATTATTAACTAAGTTTACAGTGTCCACTTTTATCGTAAAGTGAAATGTGAATATAATAATAATAATAATAATAATGTTTTTATTTCAAGTATCCATGACTCATATAAATTGTTAATAAGACTTAGACCTATGTTAGTAGTTATATTTACATCACAATGAATTACTGTGGTAACATCCCATGGGAGATGGCACCACAGCGACCCATGTATATACAGTCCAGCCTGCTTGCGATCATGCTCAGGATACTGTTGGAGCTGGCCCTCACTCTGTTTACCAGAGATGCACACCTCTTACGCATGGTAGCGTAAAAACAATCTATGTGCGCGTCTGCAAACATCCCTGATGCGCTACAAAAGCGGGGCAGCACCACCAGCACCCTAAACGCGTTATTGTATTGAACACGGAGAGCATTGTACGATCTTTGAGTATATCCAGCCCACATATACAACCATCAGTATACTTTTTGTGCTGGTGTGGAACACAGAATCGTTTTAATAAGCACCACATCAAATTAAACCTAACGTGAAACGGTATCAATTAAGTTAAATCACAACAGTCGCTCAGTAGCGATATGCAAAAAATAATCAAAATTAATTCTCTCGAATCACACGTATCACACTATACATATAAATAAAATTGGTGTGTCTGTTTGTAATATTGAAATGGTGCAGAAAATAGAATCGTTTTAATAAGCACCACATCAAATAAAACCTAACGTGAAACGGTATCAATAAAGTTAAATCACAACAGTCGATCAGTAGCGATATGCAAAAAATAATCAAAATTAATTCTCTCGAATCACACGTATCACACTATACAAATAAATAAAATTGGTTTGTCTGTTTGTAATATGGAAATAGCCGCTTTTTACTACATGCATATGAATACGGTACATACACCAAAATAACATTTTTTACAATTTTTGTCTGTCTGTCTGTATGTTCCGGCTAATCTCTGGAACGGCTCTACCGATTTTGACGGAACTTTCACTGATAGGTAGCTGATGATATAAGGAATAACTTACGCTACTTTTTTTAGACCAGCTTCGCCTCGCGGCGTTCACCGCGGTACGGCAATAACCGCGAGTTACATCGCGGGACTCAGTTATCAATAATAAAATTTAATGTTTCCGAAGCGAAGCGAGGGCGGGTCGCTAGTCTCAAATATACTGCGAAAAAAACCGACAGTTGTTAAATATTAAACCTTACTCTGTGTTCACAGAAGCGAGATCTCGTCAAAAGCTGTACAGAAAGCAGTTAATTCAAACCCCATGATTAAGTAGTAATAACTAAAGTTTATGCTTAAGAAGAAATTTCCAACAATATTTAATTAAGTGAATTTACAAATTCACACTTACACACACAAAATACTTGAACTTGAAAGTGAAAACTCATAACTAAACGTTAAAATCTATACGGCGAATACAATAAATTCCACGACAAGGAATGGAATCTTTCGAGCCATCAAGTCTATTCGAAGAATTCAGATTATCTAGAAATCTAGACTAGTTAACGTGATAATAAGAAACAATAAAGACATAGCTGTCACGAAGAATGTAAGG